GGGAATGTCTTTTTTACCCCTCCTCCAACTCTAGGCAGCGAAGATCAGAAAGAGACTCCTTCTGCTTGGGACAAGGAAAGCAAATTGCACGGAGAACTTTGTCTTGCACCTTGGTTATCAGCTTAGCCATAATAATAAAAAAAAATAAGTACCCAGCAGTTTTCTGAAGCCCCTGATTCCTGCGTGTCATTTCTACACCCGCCCTGGACCAGACGAGAACCTGCTGTTCTGAAGTAAAGAACCTAATCGCGGCAGATTTCTCCACCTAATAAGAGACCTTGGGCCTTGAATAAACATCAGTGGTAGCCAGGCAGTTGTGGTCACAGCCTCTGGGAAGATCCAGTACTACACTGATGTGACATGTGACTCTGCACAGTCCCAGATGTGGTGTCCATTGGAGTATTCATTGCACCCCTTTCCCAACTCCAGGAAGCCCAGCCCAGAGAGTGAGACATTTTCTGTTTGGGGAAAAGTGGAAAGAGAGCAAGAGATTTTTCCTGGTTATCCTATTACTGAAAACGCGACCCCTTTTCCTTGAGGCCAAATCAGAAGAATAAGAACAGGTGATTTGGGGAGGAAGGAAAGAGAATTTACTTTGTAAAGGAGAAAAAACAGTAGACCTCACTTCAAAATCCCAAACTTCCTAAACATAGGCAGAAATACAGAGTTTTTAAAGGGAGGGTTCTCAGATTGAGACAATGTCTGTGGTTAACTTCTAATCATCATATATCTGCCAAAGACAAAGCCTGTGAACTCTACACCACCTGGGAGCTTTATCTAAAGACTTAACCTGCCTCAGGGACACAGGCCAGGCTGCAGTTCCCAAAAAGAATGGGAGAAGTTTTAAAGAGACAGAAAATATTTCCATCCTCCCCCCCGCCCAGGCCATTCCCTGTTACACTCCAGGGAATTCTCCTATATTTTACCCAAGCCCACCAAGTTGGTACCACTAGGAATCTGCATGAGTCACAATATTGCTGGACTTCAGGTGTCCCCTAGTGTTGATAAAGCTCCAGTGGCCAAACATTTAGATCAAAGTCCTAAATTGCCAAACTGTTTTGATTACGACAGCCTTATAATAAAGTTTGAAGTCTGGTAAGTTGATACCTCTCATTTTGTTTTTATTGCTTAGTATTGTTTTTGCTATGCGGGCTCTTCTCTGGTTCCATACAAAGCGTAGAATCAATTTTTCTACATCTGTGAAAAATGATGTTGGTATTTTAATAGGGATTGCATTGAATCTGTAGATCACTTTGGGTAGTATAGACATCTTAATGATGTTGATTTTGCAGACCCACGAGCAC